GATCCCAATTGATTTTTCATCACTTTATTTCATGTTCTTACTAAAGAATCCAAAATGACATTTAATATTATTTTTACTTCAACTTATTTTCAATGTTTCTCAAACTTTAACATTTATAACCAGAGGTGAATAAAATTATAACTCCAGGTATTCTAGAGGTATATCTGAAGCTCAAAGATATTCCAAATCTTTGTTTTACCTAAATGTTATATAATTTTGCTTCTACTATATATACATACCTATAATAATTTTAATAAAATTAAATTAAATCATTTGCCCATTAAATAAGTTAGCTTTTCCCCAAACAAAATAATGGGACAGTTCAGGAAGATGAGCCCTCCTTAATTGGAGTTTTCTAGTTATGTTCTGGTGCATCATTAAATACCTCCCAGTCCATCACTAGCAGCAAAATAGTGCAGAATTCACTGTCTGGCAGTTCCTCAAAAAGTTAAACAGAGTTAATATTTGACTCAGTAATTCTACTTCTATGTATAGATCGAAGAGAAATGAAAATATATATCTGCACAAAAATATATATAAGTATCTATAGCAGCATTATTCATAATAGCCAAAAAGCAGAAACAACCCAAATATCTATCACCTGAAGGCTGGATGAACAAAATATGTTATAAGCATATAAGGGAAATTATCTTGGCCATAAAAGGAATGAATACTGATTTATGCTACAAAATGATGAACCTTGAACACATTATGCTTAGTGAAGGAAGCCAGTCACAAAAGAACACATATTGTATGATTCCATTTATATGAACTATCCAGAATAGGCAAATCCATAGAGACAGAAAGGTTAGTGGCTGCTTTGAGTTGAGGGTAATACAGGGATTGGAGGATCATAACTAAAGGACACAGGGTTTCTTTTTGGGGTGATATAAATGTTCTACAATTGCTGGGTGCGGTGGCTCACACCTGTAATCCTAGCACTCTCGGAGGCTGAGGCTGGATTGCTCAAGGTCAGGAGTTCAAAACAGCCTGAGCAAGACGAGACCCCGTCTGTACTATAAAACAAAGAAACTAATTGGCTAACTAATTATAATAGAAAAATTAGCCAGGCATGGTGGTGCATGCCTGTAGTCCCAGCTACTCGGGAGGCTGAGGAGAAGGATCGCTTGACCAGGAGTTTGAGGTTCCTGTGAGCTAGGCTGATGCATGGCAGTCACTCTAGCCAGGGCAACAAAGTGAGACTCTGTCTCAAAAAAAAAAAAAAAATCTTCTAAAGTTGATGGTGGTGATGGTTGCACAACTCTGAATATACTAAAAATCAATGAATTGTACACTTTAAATGGTAAACTGCATGGTATCAATAAAGCTGTTACAAAAAATAGTGCAAATTTATAATCCTTTAGACAAATATACACACATATACAAATCATGGAGGAAAATGTATGTATGTACATATCATGTAGGAAATGCTAGAAATAATTTTATGGCCTCACGTATAAACAGGTAAATACGATTTTGTCATTTTAAGACCTTCAACTTGTTTCAATTTCTCAGCCCAGAAAATTACTTATCATACATATTACTGAATATTGATATAAGTGTAGCTTTGTTAACTGACCTCAATAGTCGCACATATATATTAAATTTACTCTATGGAAAGAGTCAAATGTCATTTCTCCTAAACTATTCTATTTTCAGATCATAGATCATCTACCGTTTTTAATTCGTGAATTTCAAATTGTATATACAACTATCCAGATGATAGCCAAGCTATATAATACCTTTATACTTTAATTAAATTATGAATTCTATTACTAAGTTAAATAGCCTTAACTGACATGTAAAAACAATCTCATAAAATAATTAAAAATAAATAAGCTATGAAATTGTCTATTAAAAGAAACTTTCAAAGTGTGTGTAATATTGCATATTCCTCACTAATATTTAGGTGAACTCCTCAGACACATAGGAATATACTAAATAGGAAACAAATCAGACACGTGTACCTGTCCTTAATATTCTGTGCATCAAAACAGGACACAGCCGGGCGCGGTGGCTCACGCCTGTAATCCTAGCACTCTGGAGGCGAGGCGGGCGGATTGCTCAAGGTCAGGAGTTCGAACCACCCTGAGCGAGCGAGACCCCGTCTCTACTATAATGAAAAATTAATTGCCAACTAATATATATACAAAAAAAATTAGCCGGGCATGGTGGTGCATGCCTGTAGTCCCAGCTACTCGGGAGGCTGAGGCAGGAGGATTCTTGACCCAGGAGTTTGAGGTTGCTGTGAGCTAGGCTGACACCATGGCACTCACTCTAAGCCTGGGCAACAAAGCGAGACGCTGTCTCAAAAAAAAAACAAAACAGGACACAGACAAGCTGAAAAACAGGTACAGCATAAGATGGAAGATGTACAGAAACAAGAACACTAAAAATACATTTTGAAAATGTATAAGCTTTCTATATGTCTTGGTAAGAATGGGGGACATAAATTGAAGTTGGTGGTAAACTCACACACACACACACACACAAACACACACACACACGCACCACACGAGATGCATTCTTAGAATCTAGACTGAATAATAGCCAGGGGCTAAGAAATGAAGGGAGAAGTTGCTATCAAAGAAGAATCATATTGTTTCACAGAAAGGGCCTCTAGTTGACAAACTTTTTGTAAATAGCCAGATGGGTTTAGGCTTTGAGACTACATAGTCTCTTTTCCAACTACTAACTCTGTTGTTGTAGCATGAAAGCAGCATTAGATGAAAGGTTAGTCCTTGTGTTGCTTTTCATCTTCGAATGGAGCAAGTATTACTTACTAAAACCTCTGTCCCTTAGCCCCATGGGTGTCAACTTTCTATGTTAACATATCACATACACACATTGGATCATTGTCTTAATCTTTAAAATTCATTCTGCCTGTTCTCTTTTTCTCATTCCCTATAGCTAATCCATCAAGAAATACTGCTGGGTTTCCTTCAGAGTATCTCCAGACTCCAACCACTTTCTGCTACCCCCACTGCTGACACCCTTATCTGAACCACTATCTCCTACCTGGATGACTGAGAAAGCTCCAACTGGAACCTCTGCTTTCTTTCACTCTCCTAACAGTCTACTCTCTGCAAGCATCAGAGCAATCCTTCTTTTCTTTTTTTTAGACAGAGTCTCACTCTGCTGCCTAGGCCAGAGTGCCATGGTGTCAGCCTAGCTCACAGCAACCTCAAACTCTCAGCCTCCCAGGTAGCTGGGACTACAGGCATGCGCCACCACGCTCAGCTATATATATACATACATACATATACATATATATGTGTGTGTGTGTGTATATATACATATACATATATATATATATTAGTTGTCCCACTAATTTCTTTCCATTTTTTTAGTAGAGATGGTATCTTGCTCTTGTTCAGGCTGGTCTTGAACTCCTGAGCTCAAACGATCAAACTCCTGATCAAACTCCTGAGCCTCAGCCTCACAGAGTGCTAGGATTACAGGTGTGAGCCACTGCGCCCGGCCAGAGTAATCCTTTAAAAAATTTATCAGATCATGTCTGGCCCCTGCTCAAAACTCTGCAATGTAGCCCCATTTCACTCAGATTAAAAGTCCAAAGTCCTTACAATGGCCAACCAGGCCCCACAGGATCTGCCCCAACTCCAAACTCCTGTTAAGCAGCTCTAGGACACACCAGAATGTCAGCTCCTGGAGGGCAGGAATTTGTTTGCTGTTAACACAGCCTAAGCATCTAGAATTACGTCTGCCAAGTAGCAGGTGCTCATTAAATATTTGTCAAATAACTATCAAATGAAAGAAATGCATGCATGTCATCATTGGAGAAGAATATAAAATCTCATTCTCCATAAACTACAAAATGGGGAAGAAGTAGGGAATAAAAGGCAACC